ATTCTTTTGCTATTTTGCCATCTCTGCCATTTTAAGAAGTTGTATACAGTTGTTAGTAGATAGAGAAAGTTGTGTTACATGTATTTATTAGCTCTGCAAGCCTTCTAAAATAAAAGTGTATGACAAGACATTCTTAATTATCCACTTCATCTCTTCCCCTGAACAAAGTAATCCTAAACTGGGTTCAGAATTTTTTGTTGTTGCCCTCTAAATCTCTTTACCTTTTTCAAACTTACTGAGAATCCCAAAGAATTCTTCTTTTTATGTGTAGGTGGGTTATAATTAATGATATTTACCAATTAGTACTGAAAATTGAAACTAAGAAGTTCACTAAATGCTTATTTATTGATTTGAAGATAGCAATGATAAATTACTGATACTAATAAGATTAGTGATATTATAAAGTTAGTTCTGAGCTCACACACACCCTGAGATCTGCCCTAAGTTAAAGTTTGTTCCAGAATACAAAAGAGCATAATAACAGACAAGACTGGGAAATTAATTTTATTTGCCTTACTGTACTACATGAGTCTGAAAATCTATGTGTTAAAATCTTAGGAAACTTGCTCAACTTTTATGGGCTTGCCTCCTTGGTTTGCTGTTTATTGCCTTAACCAGCAGTATGAAAAGTTATTTTCCTTTTCTTTGCAATCTGACATGATAGCACAGATTCTGTATCGCATTGGAATAATTTTCTTTGATTTATATTGATTTTATTGTCTTTTGTTTAAGAAAAATAAAGGTTCCTCAATTTTGAAGGACCTAAGATTATTTACAATCACATTACTGTATATGTTTATTTTTTTATTATTATTTTCAAATGGGTAGCCAATTACAATTTCTCAGGCACTTACGGTTCTAAATTAAATTTCCAAATCACCTAAAAAATTTGATTTTAGTTTCCTAAATTCAAATCTTAAATGTAAAATAAAGTACAATTTTCAGGCTATCTTTTACACCTAAAAATATCTTTGAGATTTCCTATAGAGGTACCCTATAAAATAGCAGATTTATTTTTTCTTCTTATGAAAAGAGAAGCTCTAAAAATAGTGTTTTTGATTTATTACTATTTATGAGTCTCTTCGAAAGCACCGTCAAATGGGAAAGCTGCTCAGTCTTCCATAGGTTAAATTTATATAGTTAAAATGTTATCAATATAACTATTATAGAGATGGCATGTTTCATAAGACATCTCCAGATATTAGTCAATGTCCTTGCTTTTTATAATAGGTTTCAACCTAAGAAACACTGAAAAAACATAGTAAGAAATAGTTCTGTCACATTTTCCTCTATGTAGCAGAGTCCTGGTGGTGGCTTGCCTGATGACATTAGGCAAACAGTATGGTGTTAGCAGTCATAAGTTATTATTTAAAATGTTTATATGGCTGTAAGCTCATTTCTTTAATTTGGTTCTAGCATCTTCTAGTGATTTTCAGTTAACCATAAACATCGATTTTAACAACGTTGAGTTCTGTTGTTGTTTTGTTGTTTAATATCAATATTAAGACTTCAGATACAATGAACTTCTTAATAGTCTCTATATGCTATATGGTGTTGATATATTCTTACTAAAGACTTGATATATAGTATACATATATATTTTAAACTTTTGGAATTATTATGTTATGTATCAAGATATTTCTTTATAAAAATTGTGTATTCATTTTTATAACAGATGTAATGTTCCTTGAATCCTTTGAAAATATCCTTAATCATTAAGCTTAGAAGACATTTTGTCTAAAACTTATTTTGGACTGACCTGATTATCTGTTTTTTTTTCCCCCCACATGCCACAGCATCAGTCTAATTTCCTTGTCATATATTATTCTTGTTATGAACTGTCATCAGACTTTTCACTTTTGAAAATTATCAGTAATAAACTAACCCCAGCCATTTAAAATCTTTGTCATCTACAGATAGAGTATGTTTTACTTCAATCCTTCTCTGAATGTTCTGTAGCTATAAGCTAGAGTTCCTGTTGTACTCAAAGGACTGTCCCAGAGTTCTGTGAAAAAGGACTGTTCCAGGTATTTTGAACTTGGAAGAATAGACTTTTGAGTACAGGCTTCTGATGGCATCCTGTAGACAACATTAACACCATACAAGGATGCTGAATAAGAATTTCCAGAACTCTGCAGTTAAAAAGTGATGGAATTCATGAGACTGCTAACCCAAATCCATTGCAACAAGAATTAATTACATAGGACTAAATGAATTGATGAGGGATGATGGTGGGTTTTAAAAAATATTGTTGACATTTTAATATATATTAACAAATATGAAATTTAATATATATCCTGTGTTATCTATTATACATACAAACACATATAAAGCCTTTAATTTGGAGCTATCTGTAAGTCCTAATGATTTAATATTTTAATAGACTGCACTGGTAGGCTGAAGTGAAACTTTTAAAATTAAGATACATTTTCACTGACACCCAGAAATTCAGAAACTCTAATTGCCATCTCTTTACTTTTCATGGTAGTATAGTTATTTCCATAGGTTCTTTAAAAATCTGTCCTCTTTTTTCCCAGGATATAATTGAAAATGTTGGTTATGCAACCAAAGACTTGTCTGGAATGTCCTGCTTAAGAACGATGCTCATATAATCGGGTTTGCCCAGCCACTTTAAGGTGCTTTATGGAACCAATTCTTACAAAGCTTGCCCAGGAAAAGTGGTCTGGTATCTATCTGGCTTACAGGATGTAAGCAAGGTTACTTCCAGGCAGGCCAGTAACACTGGACATTGGGGTCCTCCAAAAGAGAGGTATGTGCCCAAATAATTTTTATATATATATGCATGTATATATATATAAAATAGGTGAAATCTGAAGAAAGAATTTCTTGAGTTTGTGTCCTAGCTTCAAATAGTAAAAAATAAAAAACTTTTAAAGGATTTTACAGTCCAATATGAGGTTCTTCACAAAAACATCCGGCATAGCAAGCTTAAGAAGGCCTACATGGTAAGTCTGCGCTTTTTCTGCTCTTATGCAAATAACCAGGTTAAACCCAATACAGCTGGTAGCCTTATTTTGTGACCAAACAAAAACATCTTTCTATGGTTTTTCTTTTTCTATCATAAGGGAGAAGACTATAGGGAAAAAATCTATTCTTCAACGGAAAACATCTATTCTTCAACTGAAACAAATCTTTCTGTGTTATCGGATTCTGTTTCTATTAGAGCTATTGTACAGCCCTGTAAATTGTAAATAACTAACAGCAGTTCAGAATAACCCTTCCTCAGGAAGGGAAGACAGGCCTTGGGTGTAGATGCCAGCTATCCCCACCAAGAGAATCAGGAACATGAATTTCTCCCCCATCTTCAGAATTCAATTCTTAGCCTTCCTATATTTGCAATGTTCCCTTTCCTGATATGTGAGGCTACTTTCCTCTCAGTTTTCCAGGAGCCCGTTTGGGGAACGTTGCATCCTATTAAACTTTAATCTTGTTATCTGAAGCTACATAGAGTTCAGAAACCGGGGAACAGGAGAAGGGATTCTTAAGCCAGGACCTGGGACTCAGGTTTATTATTTTTTTAATTTCAAAAGACTTGAAGGTTTTTATAGTAATTTGTCCATTTGTATGTTTTCACTAGTAACAAATTATATATTATGAATATACCATGTATTTTAAAAAAATAGGATATCTGAGAAGGTGCAAATAATAGAACCAGCACGGTAGTGGGGTGTTCAACGTCCTTGTCACCCTCCCTCCATGAGCAGCGTCTCCTCTTAGCAGCCAAAGCAGAAACTCAACAGCAGCTGAAACTAGCACCTTTCTTCTTTTTGCCTGAGCTACTTGGATGCCATAAACTTCAACCCTAAAGTGTGGCAGAAACAGAAGACACCATCCTCCTATTAGAAGAAACAAATCTATTACAAAGGAAAATATTGGGGGTTAGGTTAAACAGGGACCACACTTTTTCTTTAAATTTTATTTTAACATCTTTATTAGAGTATAATCGCTTTAAAATGTTGTTTTAGTTTCTGCTGTATAACAAAGTGAATCAGCTATATATATACATATATCCCCATATCACCTCCCTCTTGCGTCTTCCTCCCACCCTCCCTATCCCACCCCTCTAGGTGGTCACAAAGCACCAAGCTGATCTCCCTGTGCTATGCGGCTGCTTCCCACTAGCTATCTATTTTACATTTGGTAGTGTGTATATGTCCATGCCACTCTCTCACTTCATCCCAGCTTCCCCTTCCCCGTGTCCTCAAGTCCATTCTTATAGAACTTGCTAGCATAAAATATTTTGTTTTTATGGTCTAAATTTTCTCTTTGAAAGGATTTTTTTTCTGTTGGAGGGTAAAACAGACAAACTATATGTGACACAACCCAGAAGACACTGCCCAGAGCAGTGACATAGGAAACCTGAGGAACCTAGCATCCAAGGCTCTCTGGGAGGCATGGAAGGGCACAGTTACTGATTCTTGACATCTTCGACACTTGTAGGAAGTCTGCACTTGTATCTGACCTGCTTGCTGCTCCCTCAGGATTTTCATGCTCGCAGAACCTGTTTAGTTCTGAGGACTGGCCTTTGTCTCTCAGCTTTGCAGAAGGAAGGAAGGGGGCCTGCAATCACAGCAATATTTAGCTATGGGTCCCACCTGGGCCTGAAGGACTTTTTTGTGTTGACTACGTTCCCTTACATGAAGTCCACAACTTATACCCAGTCCATTCTGTAAGGTCAGGTTCATGACTGACATTGATCCTGGCCTTCAGTATCTCCACTATCGCAAGACCAGACTGTTTGGATCAGGGCCTGCCTGGGCTCTGCTCAGAGGTTGGTACTAGTTTGTTTTGAGTGACCTATTGACTTTTCTTTCTCCTGAGACAAATCCACTGTAACAAATGTCTCATCCTTTGCCTGGGTTTACTTTTTTTTTTTTTCCTTAGGGGAAAGTGCAAACGCAGTCCCCCACTAACACAAATTATGCAGTCGCGTTTCCCACATTTGGGGAAATCACAGGGGTCAGCACATCCGGAGTGCAATGGATAAGCCTTGCCCTGGGAAAACCACCTTCGTGATCATGGTATCTCCCCTGCCAGGTAAGTATGGGGTTTACTTTTTTGAAGATCCTGTTCCTTATGGGGAAGGATCTGAGGTGTCTTTCTCAAGAAGGTCTCTGTCCTGGGCACCAGAGTGAAGCTTAACTTCACTCTGGCAAGGGAGGTCCCCAACCCAGAATCCACTTCTGAATGCTTTCCTAATATGAGCCCTTTTTGTTCTTTTGGGTCTAAATCAGCGCTCTAACTCTTTCTCAGGAATTAAAACTTAGGGATTTATACTCTTGCCTATTGAGTGTGCCCTATCTTTCCTCCACCTGTGTAGTTCAGCTACACTGTGCCAGATTTTATTTTGGGTGCAGGGAGAGAGGACTGAAAAATATGTTTCCTCTGTTCCCCAGTCTGATGTGCCTCTGCAAGTCTATGGCCAGTATCAAAGTGGGACCATCTCAGAACTACCTGCCCTTTTGCATCCACAGGTATGGGTTAGCAATAGTACTATCCATGGTGGGCAGCATCTGCTTTGTGATTACTTCTTCCTCATGAACTTCTTAATGATTTGTTCCAAGGAACTGGGAAACCTTGGTTATGGAGTCTGCTCCTGAACCCTCAGAAGGGTGTCTAAGGAGGGAAAGGTGATTCGGTAAAGAGGCCAGAATTGTACCTTTCTGATCTGATACAATAGTATGGATTAAGAACCTTAATAGGATCTACTGTTTCTTCCACATACAGCCAAATATTAGCTGGGTGCAGCTTTACTCCTTGAGTTCTTGGAAATGACCCCATCATTTTCAAGGTCGTCAAAGACTGGAGTTTTTGCAGGAATTTTTGCTCATCCCCATGTCTTTACTCTCAGAATTTCTTCTTTTAACTCCAGCTGCCCTACAAAATCTGGTCTTTCTTTGGATCAACCCAGACATAGAACCCAGTCCCAACTTGAAGTTTACCCCCAAACCCCACTTCCACAAAAACAAACAAACACACACACGACTGAGCAATATATCCTCAATTAAATATATCATAGGAGTGACAAAGCAAGAGGGAAGTGCTAGCACATCCCATGGTAAATAATTTAACAACCTCTCTTAGTAACTGTCTGCCATGTCCTTTGAGGTGTTCTGCCCTGAGGTCTATCAAGTCCCCTCATCTACGCATGGAGTGCCTACCCTGCTGGTACCTCTCTCCCAGGTCCTTATCACCCCTAACATTTTAAATGTTCAAGTCTCCTACATCCTACTCTAAGCCACACACCTAAACACAGTGTGTTGTGGAAAGTGAGTGAGGATTTCTCCATAGCAAAATCCAATTTCTTATGAGATCACCTGGGATTACACAGAGCAGGATTTATGGTTGTACTGAATTACATACATAGTTATTTCCTCTGTGAATGGTTGCTTGATTTTTCTATTCTATTCTATAACTTCACCCAACCTACTATTCACTTTCTAATATTTTCAAAAATAAATAATGAAGTTACTTGACTGTGTGTATATATTATACACACACATGCATACATATGTCTACATGTGAACTATACATATAACAGAGTTGGACTAATGTCAGTTTCATTATTAAGATTACAAACTGCTGAAATCAAGCACTACATCATTTACTTTGACTTCCTCAATTGCCCTCCAATTTTAATGAGCCTTGGTCTAGGACACCACACCTTCTCACCCATATGATGGGGTTTTATCAAGATTGACAGCTCCTTTTTTGGCAGTTCTTTCCTGTAATAAAAGCTTCTCCATAGTCAGCTCTCCACAAAAACTTAGACTTCACCTTGTGCCCTGCCCCATATCTGCTCTCACTGCACTGCAGGAAGTTTGTTTAGAAAATTCCCTCAAAATCCTAGGATCTCTGGCATTATTATTTATGTAAAGACTCACTGTTTAGATTTGGGAATAAGACAAACTGAGTTCAAATCCCTGTTCTGGCACTTATCAGTTATATGAATTGGTGTAAGTCATTTTCTTTGATATTCAGTTTTCTTATATACAATATTGAGATTAGCATCTTTAGTCTATCTTTAAAAAATCTACACACATACACAAATATACAGGCACAGGATGAAGACTCCTAAAAAAAGAAGAATAAGGAGGAAAGCCTAGCAATATTGTTTGGAAAATATAATAGAAAGCTACCATAGTTAAAGTAGTCTGGTCCGGAAGCAGAACAAGATTATAAAAAAAAAAAAAGAAACAGAAAAGAGTTCAAAATCAATTTAAAGATACACAGAAATTTTGCATTTGATTCAAGTCATTTCAAATAATTGGAAAAAGTTACAGTCAACATATTCCATGGAGGAAGATGGGAAACTGAAAAGTGGATTTTTAGAATGATGAGTTAGTTTTCAGAACACCTGGGTACTTGAACTCCCTTTTCTCCCCCTGGTGAGAATAGGGACCTCCTGACACAGAGCTTATACAGGAACTTGGATGTCTCTACATATTTTCATAAATTTTCTTGGACTGATAATGAAGGCCACAAGTAAACGGTGGCTTTGTTAGGGCAATAACAGCTTTCCAGGCCCAGCAGGCCCTAGTAAGTTGAGCAGGAAATCACCCACAGCTGCCTGACATCTTCAAGACTCTGAGGGACAGAGAAGGCTCCTGTGAGAAGTGCTGTGTCTACTCATGACATGGGAGGGAATCTTTTTTTATTTCTATATTGTGTGAGCATCTCTGACAATGTGCTATTTCTTCCCATTAATCATAGGCCCACCTTACTATCTGAAGAGCCCATCTATAGAGTATGAAATTAATTCTTTACCTCATTCCTTCTATGAAAATCAGTATCAGTCAAATCAAAGATTTAAAGGTAAAGAAAAAAACACAAAACACTGGATATTTTTTTTCTTAAACATCTCAGAGTGGGAAAGTTTTTCTAAATATGGCTCAAAAACTACTTTCAAAAGTTATCAATAAACTCGAATACACGGGGAAAACATTTCTCTACTTGGGAAAAGATATATATACAGACATACAGACTAAAAAGCCAAAAACACTGGACAAATTGGAAGAAATTATTTTCCACCAAATACTGAAGGATTTATCTCTTTAATGTATAAGTTGTTCTTACAAAACAATAAAAATATAAAACATTCAGTAGGAAAAAATGAGTATATGGCAAGAATACAGCTCAAAGAAAAGTAATGTAAGTAATTTTAAACCTTTGAGAAAAATGTTCAGCCTTACTCATAATGTAAGAAATCCAAATTGAAATCCAAAAGTTGACATTTTTAAACTGCCTGATTGACAAAGCTAAGAAAGTTTAATAAATAACCATATCAGATAGGATATAGGTGAAAAAGGCACATTTACCTTTGATTACTATGGAACATAAATGGTTCCAACCACCATGGAACACAACTAAATGACATTTTTAAAAATTTGAAATGCATATGCCTGCATCAGAAATTCGATTCCTACAAATGTATCCAAAAGATTTACCCATGGATGTGTATCGAAGAATTTCAATATGGTAGCTCGGTGATAGAAAAGAACGGAAAATAACAAAAAATATTCATAAACAAGGACCTAGTCAAATAAGTAATGTATGTTCATGCAACATTAAGCTATGCAGTAGCTTAAAAGGACTGGGTAATTTCCACTGAGTGATACAGAATTGCCAAAATATATAAGAGCAAGGTGAAGAAAAATGTTTATAGTAGGTTACAGTTGTGTTACATGCTAGAGGCCATGTATCTCTATGTTCTTATATATATGCACAGACTACTGGCAGGGTATTCAAGAAACTAGGAAAGTTAGTAGTCAGTGGATAGTGGTACTGGAGGGCCAGGGAGCAAAAATGTGAGAGGAACTTCTTTTTTTATTGAATGACTTTTTTGTTTTCAAATTATAGACTATGAGCATCTATTACCTTTTCAAATAAATGAATAATGAGATAAGAAAAAATACATAATAAATAATACAGTCATCCATGATAATCTGAGCATAGAAGAAAATGTCAGAGGATGTATGGATGCTTTTTCACCTATTTAAAAAATATATATTGATTCCAATATTGTGTGTGTGTGTGTGAATTTCTCTCTCTGCTTAAGAAAACAGTTTTCTTAGGTACTATTTTCTTATATATCAATTTATCTTAGTAAATTACAATTCAGGCAAATTAATTATCAACATCAAATGAAACAAATGTTTTGTTTTGAAAAAAGTGCTAAAGAATAATCATACCAAAAACTATATTCAGCTTTTATATGCTTTTATATTTAGTATATTATACTGATGTTTTATTAAAATTTGTTTTTCATTAAAATTAGTAAAAGGTTTGGATTTTTTATCATAGTTACTAATTTTCTGAATGCTTACATTTAAAGAACAAATGATTAATTATATGGTCATATTCTAGATTTTACACCATTACTTAAGAAAAACGTGTTGAATACAAATTTAACCTGATAATTAGAAATATTCAAAAATTATCTGCCCATTTTTTATCTTTTTATTTAGCTCATTTTATAAACATTTTTGCTACTTGGAGAATAAAATTATCCCCATGAGTGTTATGATTAGAATTTCAGTAGTACTCACTAAGCAGACTTCAAGTAGATCTTTAGTAGTGAGTTAACTGAATTAATCCATGGCATATCAGTGGCTAAAACGACATCATTTAAATACCTGTGCATAAAGTACCAGTTACGTTACTTAAAAAAAGTACTCAAAGATAGAATTATTGTTTGCAGCAGGGTTTAAAGAAACTTATTTCACTTATTTAGTAGCCAGCTCAATATAAAAATTTTTGTAATTTCTCCTTTTTCTCTTTCTCTATTTTTCTCTTTTCTCTCTCTCCTTATATCCTTTTTATGGGAGGAATCACAATAATTAACTATGAAAGGAAAACAGGATTGGAAACTCTATTTTTATATTTTTATCTGATCATACTATTTACATTTTCTATCTATAGAATATAAAATAATGAAGGTATGTCATTTGTATTTGTTATAGGAAACATTTTAAGTGGATGTCTGGGAAGGATATTACACATCCCTCTCCCCCTTGCTTTTTATACAATCTTCTTTTACAAGAAGATTATGACAATTAAAGAAAAGTATTTTGAGAATGTATTTAAAAGGCTGGATCCTATGTGATCACTGTCTATGTGATTATTTGCAGATCCCAAGACAACGGTTCAAGGACAGGTGGTTTATTTGGGAGGTGACCCTGGGAGACCCTGACAGAGGAACAGGGAAATGAGACAGAGAAGGAAAGAGAGCCCACAAAGTTCACGTTTTCATGTCAACTAACTGGATCCCAGTCCCCACTAGGATGAAGCTGGGGGCCAGCATGGCACCCGTGTCTCAGAGTCATCTTATCAGGGATCACTAGCTAAGCGTTAATTCTCTGGCCATTCAAGCTTGCAGCAGCCTGGGGAGAGCAGGCTCTGGCTGCCAGAAAGAATCCTCAGCAGGAAGTAAGGGCAATTATGCATGACAGTGGTAATGCCTGAGAGGATACAAGCAGGAAGCTTCAGCACTGCTTTAATCCCTGCCACTTAAAGTGCACTTGATCATAACTTCCTGTGGTCTAAAGTTTCATGTGTGTCTTCCCTCTCTACTGCCCTGATTTGGCTACTCCTGAGACTTGGGAGCTGGTCAGGACTTCTAGACAGGACTTGCCTGGAAGGGGAGTGAGGCCAGCTGGAGAGCAGATGAACATCAGGTCCATCATGCATGTAGTGTTTCATTTATGTTTGCCCATGTGGAAGGTATCCTGCTTCTACAAACATCCTCAATTTTTGTATGGGGATGATCCTCTCCCATGCACATCCTTTCAGTTCACATGAATCAGGGTGAGAACATGCTGGTTAAAGTCAGGACAGTTTAAATAGGGCAGATTAAATACTAGGATCTTTGCTAAGAATACCAGAAAAGATCTTTGCTCTGGAGCTGAAGTTGGAAAGATTCTGCCCTGGTACCTCTGTCTGCCATTATGTGATCACAGGGAAAGAACCTCTAGGAGTGGATCAGTGAGAGAGAGCTGAGAGCTCAAGGGTGAGAGAAATTAGGTTCTAAGCCATCATTTAGAGGTGCAGTCCCTGTCCCCGCCAGCCTGGGTGACCATAACCTCCGTGAATAAGTCGGTTGGAGTAAGACTTTTGGATTTGAATCCAGAAGGCTTCTAAATGCAATATTAGATTATCAGGTCATTATAATATAGAAAGTAATATTAATGTTCTATTTAAAAAATTTTCAGCAATAGGCAAATCTTTAATAAACAGAAACAAGTGTGACCGTGGCTAAGTTTTTAAAACTTTTTAGTGCCTTAGTATCCTCAGTAGTAGACTGAAGTAAATCACTGTACTGACATAATAGAGGGGCTGTGAACGGTAAACAAAAGCTACTAAAATTGTCAATTGTACAGTTTTTGTCACATCATATCATGAGCTCCGTGAGGACTACGACTCTGTCTGGTATCTATTTGTTAACCACTGTAAATCCAGCACCAACTATGCTGCTTGCACATAGTAAACCATCAACAGATGCATGGATGGAAGAAAGCAGAAGTGACAGTCAAAAACTGAGCAACTGTTATGGTACCAGCACCATCAGAAGACACTGGGCAGCCACAAACAATCAGTGCAGCCCTACTTGTAGGCATGCCTACTGAAAATGAGCTAGGAAGAATGAGGAAACAAATATTAAAATGCAAATTATATGTAGGTACTTTCTTATATACAGTATATGCTACCTCACATCATTCTAAAGCTTTGGCTATCTTTGGTTTTTACGTTCAAACTAGCACATGTGGGGTGATGTTGCCCACTGGTTATTATTTTATGAAAAAAACATTGCCAGAATATATTTTCTCGATTACATGGATATTTTATATAGACTTCTTTACTCTTGAGAAAAGAATCATGACTAAATCCCTCCAACATTTTCCCTTATAAGCAGTGCCTTGCCTGTGCTATATAATTCTGCTGTTAAAAGGACACTTTGGGATTATATGCTGAGTATATGAATGGTACTACCGTGGAAGTAACTTGATTTTAAGTCTCTCAATATGAGCTGGCTGGTTTTACTATTACTTTTGAGTCATGACTCCTTTGATAAATACCATTTTTAATGCTTCTCTCCCTCCATCAGGCCTAAGATAGAATATTACTCAGAATCGGAGAGTTTACCGTGTGGCTTTATGTCACATGGAAAGAGCAGAATACAGCCAGAGTAAAAACCCACCTCTCCACACCCTAAAACATTCAAGGTCTAGGTCTGTCTTAGAATCCAACAGTAAAATTGAAATTCATATTTTGATCAGGTAACCAATTCAAGCATTCAAGAATATGTTCATCAAGTTGCATGCTATTTTTTTACCATCCCACTATACCAGGGTAACTTTCCCAGATTCTCATTTACTCAAGGGCTGCCTCTTCCTTTTACCAGTGTTTCCTCTTGATATGTCCTCAGTAAATAGGAACTAATTTCAATATACGTTGGTTAATTCATTAAACAAATATTTGTTTAGAGCCTAAAAGAAAAAGCCACTGGGCTAACACTGATTAAAGTAAAACATAACGAGAATCATAAATGCCCTGCAACAGGAATACCAATAATAAAATTGCAATACCCAACATTTCTTTTTTTTTTTTTTTTTCTTTGCGGTACGTGGGCCTCTCACTGTTGTGGCCTCTCCCGTTGCGGAGCACAGGCTCCGGACGCGCAGGCTCAGCGGCCATGGCTCACGGGCCCAGCCGCTCTGCGGCATGTGGGATCTTCCCGGACCGGGGCACGAACCCGTGTCCCCTGCATCGGCAGGTGGACTCTCAACCACTGCACCACCAGGGAACATTTCTTAAAG